TTTTAAATTCAGGGACTCATAGGCAAATGGGACTGTAGGCTTGTCTTAGATGAGACATTGCACTTTTTACATTTGAGTTAATGCTGGAATGAGTTAGGACTTCTGGCAACTTTTGAAAAGGTATGATTGTATTTTGCTCTGTGAGAAGGACATGAGATTCGGAGGGTTCAGGGTCAGAATAATATGGATTGGCTGTGTTTCCCTACAAAATCTCATGTGAATTGTAATCCTGAATGTTGGAGATGGGGCCTGGCGGTAGGTGATTTAATCGTGGATGGAAGGGGGTTGGGGTTGGAAGGAAAAAATGTGAGTAGTATCAGTAGGAGTGGGTTGTCGGTAGGGTGGTGAGAGGGTGGTGGGTAGTAGGAAGCGGGAGTAGCCTGCTGCAGAGGCACAGCCTCATGGAAAACCTCTACTAGGGCAGTGCTGGCTTTGCAGGCTTTAGCCCCCATGGCTGCTCTCATGGGCTGAGCTGGTGTTGAGTGCCTGTAGCTTTTCCATACTGAGGGTGCAGACTGTTGGTGGGCTTATGAGTCTGGGGTCTGGAAGATGGTGGCCTCCTGTGTGGGGGCTCCAAGCCCATATTTTCCTTCCGCACTGCCATAGTAGAAGTTTCCCAAGAGGTTCTGCCTCTGCAGGAGGCTTCTGCCTGGAAACAGTAGGCGGTGGTGTGCGTGGTGGATCCTTCACCAATGGTTAATCTTCTTGGTGCTGATCTCCTGGTAGTGAGTTCTCATGTGATCCGGTTGTATAACGGGCTGTGACACCTCTTTCCTCTCTCTGTCTTGCTCGTACTTCTGCCATATGAAACACTTCATTGCCGCTTGGCCTTCTGGTGTGGTTAGGAGGGTCCTGATCAGCGTGCACCTGCTCAGTGGACCTAGTCAGTTGGGACTTGGTCAGTGAGGCTTATTTAGTGGCAGCGTGGCAGCGTGGTCAGCAGGGGTCTGCTTACAGAGGGTCTCAGGGGGATCTAGTAGTGGGGGTTTTGGTGAGTGAGGACCTATTGGCAGTCAGTTGTTTGGTGTCTGATCAGTGCAAACCTGGGCTGTGGGGCTTGACCAGTGGAGACGTGGTTAGCTGGGGCTTAGTGGTAGCCTGGTCAGCATGGGCTGGGTCACTTGTGAGCAGGTCAAGGGGTGCTATTCAGTGGAGGACTGGTCACATGGGACCTAGTCAGCAGGGCCTGGGGGGTGTGTCCTCATCAGTGAGGCCCTTGCCAGTGGGGCCCTGGTCAGGGCAACCTGGTCAGTGGAACCTAATCAGAGGGGGCCTGGTCAGAGAGGA